GAGTGTCATCCTGCCTCTGTCAGGCTGTGGCTCTTGTTTCATGTGCCGCCCCCCCTCCCCCCCGCCCTGCTCCCTCTCATCAGAAACAGGGATGGAGTGGGCGCCCACCCATTTCTGTTTGCTCTGCCTCCCGCCCAGCTGCCAGTAGCAGTTCGATTAGCTCGGAGAAAATCTAGTAAGGCAGGAGGGAGCAGTATGTACCTTTTTCAAGACAAGAAAAGTACTTCTCTATTTTTCAGCAAAGCAAGAAGAAAAGCCAAAGTGGTCCATCTCTAAACATATGCTGTCATCCCAACGGCTTTCTTTTGGCATGAATGTTACCCTGAAAATCAGTTCACTGAGAACACCTCTGCCTGGTAACAGGAGGTCTCATAAACATCTGCAGAGGTCCATAAGTTGACGTGCAATCCAGGAAAATGTAGTGTAGGATCTCCAGATTTGTCTCCACAATACCACATGAAGGCTGTTGCTCCTGTTACACTGCTCTGAAAGACAAAATGTAGCATAACATAAGGGAATCTCAACAGTGTAAAGTGCCTAGGTCCAGAAAGCAGAGGCATCAAAAAAAAAAAAAAAAAGACCCCCCATCAACCCTCTCCAGCTTGTGCAAACACCCCCCCCCTATGTTAATCTTTTCATTCTGTTGAACTGTTCCAACAAAAATTACAGTTGATCCAGGTCTCAGAGATTCTCAGTTCTAACAAGTTTTGTAAATATGAGCTACAGAGTAGAAAAGAATCCAGGTTACAGCCTCCATTGAGGAGAGGTGGCTACTGTAAACTGAGAAGCTACTGCTTGGTTTTGCCCTTCCAGCAGAAGAGGTCTAAAAAAAAAAACCAAAACACCCAACCCAAACCCCTCAAAACAACAGCTGAATAATAACTGAAGGTTAGCCATTCCTCGTATGGTGTGGTTGTACTTGCTGCCCTTTCACAAGGACAGACAACTGGAGAGTGCTGAAGGCAAAATAATTGGGGAGGAGAGTAGGGAGAGGGTTATAAAATTTTTATAAAGGGAACTCAAGTTCTTGGAAGTAACTGACTGTAGAAATCTCATTAATGATGGTAGAAGAGAGAAGAGCAAAGTTTATTGCACTGTTTAGACAGGACTTACAGAAAAGTAACCGACATTCATATTTCTCTCAACAGTCTAAAAAAAACCACATTCACTAAAGGAAACAGATGGGAACTTGTTAACGTTCTGTCACTCATCATCCATCCCACTTCAGTTACAATGGAGTTTCCAGTGATGGACAAAGGCTTTGGAGCATCCCAGAGAAATAGCCCGTCAGAGTCAGGAAAGCTAAGTCTGATGGGAGGGAACAGAGAAAAGGCTTCAAGAAGAGCTCCAGAACAACTCAAGGATGTCCAAGCTTGAAGGAGTCACCTGCCCATTGCATGTTACCAAACAGTATGAACGCTGGGATTCTCTTTTTCCCCTGGTTGGCGTATTTTCCCCAGATGAAGAAGTTGTGCTACAGGCCATCAGCTTTCTCCTGTTCAGCTCCAGCTGAAAGTTTCTAGGAGACAATGGGAAGACATAAATACAAACCTGCTGTTACTGTTTTGCAACTACAGCTCCTGGGTGAGCTCTGCATAGATGTTTCTGGAAAATGCTCTTACTTTGAAACATGAAGTCAGAAAGACAATATTTTTCTGTCTGTGCTTATTGCCTAAATTGGCTTCAAGAAAAAAAAAAGTTGTCATTTGAGTAGCATATTGCTCTAATTATCCCACCTCCTGCAGCCTCTTCAACCAGAAATACTGGAGGACCGCTAATTTGACGAGAGTAAGTCAGATGCCCATGTATTATCTTGGGTTTACAGAGTACTCCTTGGTCATGCCAAAAGCTCCTGAAAAGCAAAGAAAAACATAAACCGAAGCGAAGCAGCAGAGACCAAAACAGACTTTTAAGAGTAGCAGGACTAGTGTTGGAGATTTAGATTGGTTTCTGAACATCATTTAATTTTAGTCTCCTGTATTCCACTGTGGTAATACAGAGAAAAAAAAGCAAGGAGAAGTGCTATGAAAAGTTACAGAACAACTAGATCATCAACAGAAGGCGTTTAGCACAAAGTATTAGGGGTTGTTACAAATCCAGTGATGATGAGGCACAGCTGTCTAGCTGTTGTGATTATTTTGGAAAGTTTCTAAAGTGCAGAGTGCACCTTGAAATCACATCTGAGAAATCTGCTTTTAAGGTTATGGGTAGCTACTGTAGATCTCTGAAACGTCAAGACTGAAATATTAAATATAATCTTGCTATATGCTACTTACCTCACCATCTATAGCTGCAAGTTTTCCAGCTTTGTAAGTTGCTGACTGGCACTATCATCTGAAAACCTTACAACAACTTAGAGAAAGAGCACATCTATAGGTCACACCTCTACAGCAGGAAATAACTGTACTGAAAAAGCCACAAGACAAAAGTAAAGGATAAAGCAGAGGACAGGAAGTTGCCATCCATTTTCTGAAATAAATCATGTTTGGAAACTTCAGATTTCTAAAGATGATAAAGATAAGGAAACTCATTAAAATTATGTTTTCTTCCCTCCGAGTGCAGATGTACAATTAAACTTCATAAAAATCTTATAGTTTGTGTCCAAAAAGAGAAACTAAGTGACCAAAAAAAACCCAACAAACCCAGTAAATGGAACACATTTGATATTGTGTATCAACAAGGAGCAAAACTAAGAAAAACAGGAGAAACGCATGCTAAATTTTTAAAACACCTCAGGCAATCTATATTATTTTGCACGGGTAAATCAAAAAGATAAACAAATCAGTTTAACAGCACCGCAGTCCCGTGAACACAAAAAAGCCACGAGATGACACAGTTAAGAGACCCGGGACGTGCAACTGTCTGAGACGCACACAGAGGAGGGAACGTGTCGTGCGCAGAGGGGGGATACACAAAAATGAAAATGATTAATAACATTCAAATCAGTGTAACAGCACCGCAGTCCCGTGAACACAAAAAAGCCACGAGATGACACAGTTAAGAGACCCGGGACGTGCAACTGTCTGAGACGCACACAGAGGAGGGAACGTGTCGTGCGCAGAGGGGGGATACACAAAAATGAAAATGATTAATAACGTTACTCAGCCATCACTATAAAAGAGTGGATTTACTCTAGCACAGACGATAC